GATATTAAAATTCAAAGTTTAATAATTAAATTATTTATTATATAATTTTTATATTAATTTTAATCAAATTTTATATAGAAAATTTAAGAAATAATAATTCAAAAAAATTTATTATTAGTAAATTTTTTTTATAAAAGATATATAATAAAAAATTTTATATTTAAATAAATTTCAATATCTAATAACTTTATTAAATAAGACAAAATTAAAATTTTATTTTGAAAAAATAATTTATTAATATTTATTTAATATATTAATCTTTTTATACAGATTATAATATAATAAACTTTTTATAAAAATATTACTATTATATATCATTATTCTTAATTTCAAGTATATTTGCAATTTATTATAATATAATTAAGAATACTTATTAAAATTCATAAATTTTAACAGATAATATAATATTAAAACTAAAATATTAATTAATATTAGTATAATATATTTTTATTATTATAAATCTTTTTAAATTTCAATAATATGATAGATTTATTAAAATTTTAATATATAATTAACTATTAATATATAATCTGATATAATTTTTAAATTTTAAAATTTTATTATTTTTAGATATAATATTGATTAATTTAAATAAAAATTAATATTAATTTTATTTTATATTTATTATATTTTACTTTAAAAATAATTCTTGAAATATTTTCAGAAAGTTTTATATAATTAATAATTCATTTTATAAATATTCTATAAGTTTCAAGTCAGATAGTATATAATAATTTAATATCTTAATAATTTGTTTATTTAATCATTTCTTAGTTTCAGATTATTATTATATTAAAATATAATATTCTTTAAGTTTAAATTAAATATACTAATGATCTTTATTAATTTATCAATTAAAATCTCTTGATATGACTTACTATTAATTCAGTCTTTAATTTTATAATAAAATTCAATATTAAAACTGCCAAAATAATTTCATATTATAATAGTTCTTGCTATACTTTACTATTAATTTAATATACTATGATATTATGAATAATTTTGAATTTCTCTATTCAATCATGAACTTGCTTTCATCTGACTAAATTATTTTATATTAATCTTTTATGATTTAATCTCTATATTTTCTTGCAAATTTTTTTCTTGTTATTCTATGTAATTTTTTAGTAATGGCTTTTATTTCTTTAATCATGCTACCAGATCTTGTCTTCCCAATTTATATCAAACTGTATTTGGAGAAATGAAAGTATTTTTATTGTTGATAAGCTTTTTTTTGAATCTGAATCGCATTAGAACATTCACTTGACTTAATAAGCTTGGCAATATTTCTTTCATGACATTCAATAAGTTTCTGGTCTTAATGCAACATTAAAGCTGCCAGTTTCTTCTTTTTTTTAATCCTTAGTATGGTGATGTGGTTGACATTTTCTCAAACAGCTATTTCATAACTAGTATAGCCTTCTTGAAGAAGTGTGTAAACACAAACCCTCCGCTCCGAAAAAAACAAAACAGTGCTGTAAGAAATTTAGTAGCGTCTGCTTACAAAATTATTTATAGCATTAGTATATGTAGCACAAATGCCGTTTAATTGATTTACCCAGAAAGTGCCAGAAATATTTCACCATAAAAAAGTATGATCGAACATTTTCAGTCAAATTTAATTATATAATAAATGAAGTCATACACTTTAATTTATCCAAATTTGCAACTTAAACAATTATTATATTTGAAGAAATCGTAATTTAAAAATTTTGTCACGAATTCTTATCAGTTAGAAATATGGGATTTAATCAATTTGGAAGCGCTAGAATATATTTTTGTAAAACTTTTGTGAGTCACTGTATATTTGATATAATTAGTATAAATGGCATTCCAAACAAATGAAGCATAAGCATCGGCAAGACCTAAGCTATTCCATACGTTCAAATTTCCCAAAAATTTTAAAGCTACTCTTCTTGCAGGTTGATTAAGATTGGACCTTAGTAGTGATAATTTGAA